TCAACACCTGGCACTAATCGTGGCCTTATATCAAGTACATATTTCATTATCAAAGATTCAATACTACCATATCGGATAGTGTGTTCACAAGTATTTCTCGAACAAATCAGTAGACCTCTAACCATAGCATTTAGGTTAAGGAAGACAAAGACTTGTAAGGGAAAGGAAGCCGAGACTACCAAGTTGCTCTGACTATCGCTTGCACATGCTACTTATCCTAACCCAGCCCTCGAGTTCTTCACAACATGTGCAACAGGTAAAAGAATACCTTTGTTATTCATAGAACCAAGAGGAGTGCCAATGCTCCATCCCATTTTCTCAAGCATAGCCCTGCCCTTATTCTCGGCACCAATTTCAGGTGCCGATCCTCCGACGACATCACCATCCATGTAGGAAACCGTTGCATCGGTTCGCCCGCGGCGCGACTTGCTAGGCTTGCTCGGCTTCGAGTCCCGGAATTTGAGCCCGCGTTGCCCACGCCCATTTGATAATATACGATCCATTTGAGATACTGTTTTGGATGAATATGCAGGAGTCCGTGAGGTCTTGTGTACGATGGGAAACCTCGAGGATCCATTGCCTCGAGATTGCGATTTCATAGACAAGACATTGGCCAGCTCGTGGACCAGTTTGCGGTGTTGCTTCGACATGGGAGGCAAAGCCAAGCTGCAAAAACAGTGTCAGATATCATATACCAGAAGCAGTCTGGTCCACTGAGAGGGAGGAGGGATCATATGTACCTATTCCTTGATGAGAGGAGGAAATGTCGAATTTCGCTTCTCAGATCCTCGGTGCCTATTCCATTGGAATATTTGTCTTTTAAGGACGGATTTTGGCGGCCCCGGCCTAATAGGCCCTGGGAGCGTAGCTCTTCGCGTTTTTGCTTTCTAGCCTTTTTCTTAGCTCTGTCGTTTTGCCAGGCATTTACCAACTCGGACTCAAGTTCACTGTCTGATAGATTAATATCCAAGGACCGGCCCTTTCCTTTAGACTTCTTTTTCACGCTTGGTCGGTTGAAGTCCATGATATCGAATCCATAGTAGGGATCGAATTCCAATGCATCAGCAAAAGCCGTCGCAGACGCAAAGAAGCCGTTGTCATACGCGTGCAAGTTCTTCTCGGAGTCAGTAATGAAATTTCAAGGTGGTCCACTTGTCGAGGGGTGGATGTTAGCAGAAGTGGAATGGTTAGGTTTCCTACCTCAGATTTGTCTTCTTCTATGTCCTCTGTGTCCGAACCGTCTGACGAAGAGGTTGAGGCGATATCCGTATGAGAAATTCGGTTAACGGATACCTCTTGACTGATTTCTTCGTCCAAATGATTGTAGTGACCTTGGCCAGGTTAGTAAACGGCCACAGACGTGACGACCAAGAAAATTTAGTATTCTGATTCCACTTACACTCGGAATTATCATTTTCGCCGCACTCTTGCTCATCGCTCGGTGTCAGATTAACGTGTTGAGCCGAAGCCTCGTTCCGGCGCAGTTCCTTTTCAGCTGCAGAGTTCAGGCCCATAGCGGACGTTGGTGCCACCTTGTCGGCATTGTCTGACTCTTGAGCTTCATCCGGGTGCGGAGGGCTGCCCAGTATCCCCAATATCGAGTACTCGGTGTCAATATTATCTATGTAGTCAGCGAGTATGTCATCATCGTCTCTTTTCCATTTTTTGCGCCGCCGCTTATCGCTAGTAAGCGAGAAGTAATTTGGGCTATCGTCCATTTCCTGTGGGCATGTTTCTGTCTGTAGAGGCTTCGGAGCGGGCAATGATCTGGGCTCAGAATTTGAGGAAAGGGAACCTAGTTTGCTGTGCTCGGATGTTCTTGGTTGCTGACTACTGGAAATAACCTGCGTCCGGATATCCGAGGGGTGAGATCTGCCTTCCCCATATTGGTGTCTCCTGCCACGAAACACAACCTCATCTTCACTCGAATCGTCATGAGACTGCTTGGAAGAATGTTCCATTGAGTCCGATATCACTGTGGATTCGAAGTTGTCAAGTAACTCGACACAGAGGGGCGAGTCCTCGGGCCCCGGCCTGCGTTCTGACAGAGATGTAGCCGTCGCTTGATCACAATTCTGAGTCGTCCGAGTTTCCAGACTCTCTTCGCGTGCGGTTATCTCGATTGTGCTTGGGGAGGGTTGTGTTTCACTCTCCCGGTCGATGTCCCGGGCGCTCACAAAACGGACTGTTTGGTGGCGTAGTGAGGCACCAGTCCGCCAAAGGCTGCGTCCTTCAGTGTTGCGCGCTTCTTGCTGCATTGTAAAATGATTCTTGCCAAGGCCTTCGAAGAGTCAGTAATGTGACTGTAACCTGAAGTAGTGACAACTATAATAGAGTACCTGGAAGATCATCTGCCATTGTTTTCTGCTTCTTGTTCCGAACTTTTGCCTTGGATCGTGTCATCTTCCAGGCCTTCTCTTTCCGCTTGGCTTACTGGCTTTTCCCTTTGGCCTTATCCTAGTATATGTTGGAGGTTCTGGTGTCGGTTGGAAGACAGAAGGGTGTTTCGTCGATTTGATGAGGATAGGCGACTGGGGATGGTACCTTTACTGCCTCGAAGCTTAATCTAGTCCCTCGCTCTTGGCAGTGTTATCTGCGGTCTCATATCTTCACTTATGTAATGATGGCAGGCGGCGAAGGCGCCCGGCGGGGTACACCGGCGGGCTTTATCAATGAAGGTTTGGGTGGCCTTGATTCACTGAGAGACAGTATAGCCTAGTATCTTTCCCACATGCGATGTCAAGACTGGTCAGATTTACTATACTTTTCGATTTTACTGAGTCTTTGGTGTGAATATGTAAGGGTCTGTGGTAGATAGCCTTCTCTAAGCTTTTTCAGCTGTAGCAGCAACTCCCGCCCTAGCTAGCCCCGTGACTACAACTAATGCATAGATACTGTATGACCCCTCCTGGTCACACTAAGCTCCCTTTTGTGGTTAACTGTTCTTCTTTGGCCGCTACCGACCCTGTGATCTACCGCGTTGGGAACTGTCATAATATCACTCTTGGAGAGTGCGTTGCACTGTTAATGTCTCTCCCTCAGAGCCCCGCCATCTAGGTTGCCCATCTCCTACGGGCCGAGGATAATATATAGTGCAGACTTGTCCAGTGACGTACTGCAACACCAACCCCTACCGTCTCTGTCTGTGCGACCAGGGAAGCACAACCTAGACTATCAGAACAATAGCAGACATGAACACAGTCGATATAGGACGGTGCAGCAAACGCATCGTACAGTATCTCTGGGACCCAGAGCCCAGGAATGACGAAGATCCTACTTCCTCGATATGGTGCCTAGGGATAGAGTATCACCCCGAGAAGGATGTCAGCCCTAGAAGAGAGACACGTAAGCCCAAGCAAAACATAATCACCCATGTTTGTTAAAAGACACGTTTGTTCCAAACCATACTGATACCGGTGCCAGCCGACCAGAACAGCGCCCGAGATAACGCGACGGAAACGACCAACTATCGGAAACCATCAGAACATGCGTGGCCCGAGTCGTTCCTGTTGGACTTTGAATCAAGAATCTGGATGACCTATAGGTCCAATTTCCCCCCGATACCCAGGGTCGAGGGAGACGACAAAAGTGCATCAATGACACTGGGGGTACGCCTAAGAAGCCAATTAGTAGATACGCAAGGATTTACATCTGATACTGGCTGGGGCTGTATGATACGCTCCGGTCAGAGCCTGCTGGCAAATGCACTATCTATGTTGGTCCTAGGACGTGGTACTATCATTCACGCGCTTCACTTGAATGTACTGCTAACATCCGACCAGACTGGCGCCGTGGAGCGAGGTTCGAGGAAGAGTCACAGCTACTGTCTCTTTTCGCTGACATACCAACTGCCCCCTTCTCTGTACATCGGTTCGTCAAGCATGGCGCCGAATCGTGTGGGAAGTACCCAGGGGAATGGTTTGGGCCCTCCGCAACGGCCAAGTGCATAGAGTATGTCCCGCATTGCATCTAGCAACTAATTCAAAGAAGTAGACTGAACAACGAAACAGAGCACTTTCGTCACAGTGTAAAAGTCCCACACTCAAAGTTTACGTCTCAAATGATACATCGGAAGTTTACCAGGACAGGTTCATGAATGTCGCCCGAAACTCTTCCGGTGTTTTTCAGCCTACCCTAATACTGCTAGGAACAAGGCTCGGCATCGACCACATCACCCCAGTCTATTGGGATGGCCTAAAAGCTGCATTGCAGTTCCCTCAATCAGTCGGAATTGCAGGGTATATTGCCCACCCGTGAGCTATTTCTCCTCATCATAGCTGACGTCATCACTAGGGGACGCCCGTCGGCGTCACACTACTTTGTTGGAGCCCAGGGGTCACATCTATTCTATCTAGATCCACATTATACCCGCCCTGCGCTTCCAGACCGCCAAGGAGGCGACCTATACTCGAAAGAGGAGGTTGATACTTATCATACTCGGCGCCTGAGAAGAATTCACGTGCGGGACATGGATCCGAGCATGCTTATCGGCTTCCTCATCCGTGACCAGGAAGATTGGGACGACTGGTTAAACCGCATACAAGCCGTCAAGGGACGGCCGATAATCCATGTACTCAAGCAGATGAATCCTGACCACGATCAGGAAGCACATGCACTTGACCAGGTTGAAGCGCTGGATGATATCGAATAGCTCCTGCTGTCAATAAATTTAGTTGAATTAACCTTAGTATCCAGCCTAGAACCGATGCACCACTGCGTTGTAATCTTATAGACATGCAACTAGGCAATTTGATATTCGAATTCTGTTGAGGAAGGTAAACCCGCGCAACCAACCCCACATCCGAGTTATGTTACACCGCATTCACGTCACAAAAAAAGCAACCATAAACATTTGGCCCGAGGGGAAAAAAGAAATAAAGCCATCCCATGACACATTAGAATCCCGCAAACACCCTGTAACCCACCACCTCAAAACCGTAACAGATGACGAGGTAGCAAAAGAACAATCCTGCAGAAAGAAAACAAAGAAAGGAAAATGCTTATTTGGCAGACGACGAGTACTTCGTGACAGCCTTGGTGCCTTCGGACACCGCGTGCTTCGCCAATTCACCGGGAAGGATGAGCCTCACACTAGGAGATATTAGCTATTTGCTATCATTTCGATCTAGAAAGCACTTACGAGGTCTGGATCTCCCGTGAAGAGATGGTGGACTTCTTGTTGTAAGCAGCAAGTTTCGAGGCTTCGGTCGCGACACGCTCAAAGATATCTAGGACGCGTTAGGTTTTTGCTTGAATGTAGACATCCGTTCGTTTCACAGCATACCGTTGACAAAAGAGTTTAGGATGGACATAGCGCGAGTCGAGATACCGGTATCAGGGTGGACCTGCTTCAAGACTGCGAAAGTCAATAATTATCATCTAAGACGAGACGTGTTATTAAAACCACTCACCCTTGTAGATGTAAGACGAGTAAGTCTCCTTCCTGGTCTTTCCACGCTTCTTCTTGTCGCCAGAGGCAGCGGCAGCAGTCTTCTTGCCGGCTTCCTTCTTCTCAGCGGGAGCCTTGCCGCCAGCCGGGGCCTTGCCACCGGTGCTGGGCTTCTTCTCAGCGGCTTTGGGAGGCATGTTGAAAGATTTGAAATTAGGTATGAAAGATGAAGAGTTGTAATAAGAGTATAGGATACGGTGGGTGCGTTGACGTCGACAGAGGATAGAGTGAAGATGAGGATAAGAATGAGGGAGACGCGGTGACGAGGGAGGCGCGCTACTTATACTAGCTCGCAAATACTCAGTTGATCCTGAGTCCGCAAAAGAAGCAGAATTTCAATACGGTCACGCTTGTGTATGATCTGTATGATTAGATGAGGGAGAACGCGTCGTCCACTGTGGGGAGTTGACTAAGATCACGCTAATATAACCGTATCGAAACTAGAACAATTAATTACCACGCTTAACTGTATTGGGTGCGACCACGCGCGGAATCATACCAAACACTCTTTGCCAAGCTATGGGTGCGCCGGAGCATGATCTCATTTGTGATTGGCTGACCCCGCTAAGCGAGAGGGTGATCTGAAAGGCTCCCGGGTAGTCCAACGTCACCCTGATCGCGTTGTTATATATGTCCTCCGCTCCCTCGCGTTGGCCGTCAACCCTTTAGCACCGTATCCCGCTTATCGCCATCATCACTTGTTAAGTACAACTTCTTAATTAAACACCTTTAAAAAAAACACTCACATTCCACCTATCAAAATGACTGGAGGCAAATCTGGAGGCAAGGCCAGCGGCAGCAAGAACGCCCAATCGTATGCCATCCGTCCTCGCGTTTATTGGAGATATTGAACTGACAAAATCGCAGCCGCTCGTCCAAGGCCGGTCTCGCCTTCCCCGTTGGTCGTGTCCACCGTCTGCTCCGCAAGGGCAACTACGCTCAGCGTGTTGGTGCCGGTAAGTGATACTTGTTTTAAGAGTCTCGAAGATAAGTCTAACATCATAGTAGGTGCTCCCGTTTACCTTGCTGCCGTCCTTGAGTATCTCGCCGCCGAAATTCTCGAATTGGCTGGTAACGCTGCTCGCGATAACAAGAAGACCCGTATCATTCCTCGTCACCTTCAGCTCGCCATCCGCAACGATGAGGAACTGAACAAGCTTCTGGGTCATGTCACCATTGCCCAGGGTGGTGTCCTCCCCAACATCCACCAGAGTAAGTTCAAGCTCCATTTGAGAATCCAGCATGTGATTCTGACCATACACAGACCTTCTGCCCAAGAAGACCCCCAAGAGTGGAAAGGGCCCGGGAAGCCAGGAGCTGTAAACAATTTCTTTCTAATTTGGGTTCTCTGATTCGGCGCGGTTTGGTTCTCTTATTGATGTGATAACGGGGTTCTGGTCGGAACGTTTATGGCTCTGCGTTTTCTTTTTCTAGTTTCCACAGTTTATGGTTGTACATTATGTCTACGGGCATGGAATGATACCGACAGCATTTTCACGGATTCAATTTTCTACCCTAGTAGATACTGTAAGGAGTGCGCTCGCCAAGTGAAGGCCAAAAAGTGTTTGTTGAGCTGGTTTCACCTTAAAACGGCCCATTATCTATGCAATCTAAGTTCCGCGAGATATATAGATGTAGTAGTCAATTTGTTCTTATCTATGGACCTAGGAATACAAGATAACTGCGCAAAGGAACTGCAGTCATACTCAGTGTGCCGAGCTGTCCGAAGCAACTAGTAGATATTGCTGCGTCAATATTCGATATATTCAGGGAGCCATTATCGGTTCACTCACGGGGCAATTGAGGGGCGGGAATGTTTCTCTCGTATTTGCTGCCTATAGGAATGTTAGATCAAGAAATCCGTTTCATAAAGGCCTCTGGTCAGACTTACCACCCGGGGCCGTAGGTGCGCGGTAAGGGTCAGGGTGTTTCCATGTCTCTAGGAGCTTTTCTGTCTCTTGAAGCAGTACCTGTCCGGTTCACCGTCAGTTCTTTGGACACTAGTTGTTCAAGGCAATGAAAGGCAGCACTTACCTTCTGCTGACGGGGGTCGCGAACATCTTTGTTGGCCTCGAAAAGTGAGCGGATATACACAGCTTGTCCTCTCCAGATATGGCGGTGAACGGCCCAGTCAAGGGCCAGTTTCAGGGACCGTCGATAAAGTGAACTGGACAACAAAGTCAGGATATCTTCCATTCGCTCTTCCTTCGGTCAACCTACGCGCCAGCGTTGAGAGGCATCCTGAGTTTGCAGCAGTTTCGTTCCGTAGGCGTGAGTTATCTTAAGACACTTCTCTCTCGGGTCTGCCGTTTTTGTGCACCACGGCTGTCTGGTTGTAGTCTATATTGATTTTTGCACGGAGTTTACAGCTCGTTCAGTTACCTAGCCGTTAATGATCCTATGCGGGTCACAAAAGTACCAAGTTGGTGTTTTTCGACGCCCGAAGTAGCGTAATAATAATACTCCGTTCATTTGCCGGGCGCAGGGAATGCCGCGCTCGTTGAGGGAAATTCCGGTTGTCTCGGCCCGGGCTTGAGCTTGCAGTACCCTCGACTGACATAAGTTTCGTCACTCTACAGTTCCCGACAAGAAATATCCATACCTAGGACTAGGACTAGAGCCTAACAACAACAACAACATTGTCCACTCATTACGGGGCCTATTTTGTGCTACCACAACTCCCGGCTACATCTCTACAGTCTTTGTAAATCTGATTATCCAGACGGACCCAAGCCAGTCATTATGGCTTCTCGATTACCGTTTCATCGCCTCTCTGGGCAACACCTGAGGACTCTTCATCGAAACGCCAGCGTTTCCCGCGGCCTCCACATCGGCCGTGCCAGAAGCTTGACGTCCATTGCTTCCCAGAAAAGCGCCAATGGTCCTCTCAAGTCAACCGCGAGTCTCCAGCAGGTTACGGCTCTGGGGTCAGTGGTACCAAGCCTTGTTTGTTGAACAGCAATAAACGACTAACTGTTGTCATAGACCCAAAATGTCTCGCTTTGGTATCGCTCCCTTCGGGGCTGCTCAGGTGCGAACTTATGGTAGTATTTTCCTTCCACTGTCATGAAACGCTACATACTAATGCCTGTTGTTGTTTCCGGTTAGCCGACACTGTTGTCAAGGTTCCACAGATGGCGGAATCGATCACCGAAGGGACATTGAAGCAATTCTCCAAGCGTGAGGTCTCAGCACTCAACGCATCAATGGTCTGGGCTAATTTTGGCGGCAGAGATCGGTGACTACGTTGAACGGGACGAGGAGATCGCAACCATTGAGACTGACAAGGTAAGCGCTGATACCAGGCGATGGCCGCTTCCCACTACAACGGATATACCCCTGTGAAGTATAAATCAGCGACTCACTTGTGTAGATTGATGTATCCGTTAATGCCCCTGAATCCGGTACCATCAAAGAGTTCCTCGTGGGCGAGGAAGACACCGTCACAGTTGGACAGGACCTTGTCAAGTTGGAGCTTGGAGGTGCCCCTGAAACCAAGAAGGAAGACGCAACTGAAAAGCCCGCCGCGCCAGCTGCCGCTGACAAGCCCACGGCTTCCGAACCTGAGAAACCGAAGGCACCCGAAGCACCCCAGTCTTCATCCGAGAAGGCCACACCTTCGGAGCCCAGTCCTTCGAAGAAAACAGAGCCGGTTGCTACGAAGCCTCAGGCCTCTGAAGATGCCAAACCCAGCGTTGGGGGTCGCGAGGAGAGGAGGGTATGTACCTGGCCGAATGGCTGCATCAACCTTCTTTTCTCCACTAACATTGGATCTTCCTACTTTCTCAATAGGTGAAAATGAATAGGATGAGATTGAGAATCGCAGAACGTCTGAAGCAGTCCCAGAACACGGCAGCTTCTCTCACCACATTCAACGAAGTTGACATGTCCTCTCTCATGGAGTTCCGCAAGCTGTACAAGGACGACGTATTGAAGAAAACGGGTGTCAAACTCGGATTCATGAGTGCCTTCTCTCGCGCCTGTGTTCTTGCCATGAAAGACGTCCCCGCTGTTAATGCCTCCATCGAGGGTCCCAATGGTGGAGACACCATTGTTTATCGTGATTACGTGGATATCAGCGTGGCCGTTGCTACTGAGAAAGGACTAGTGACACCAGTGGTTCGCAATGCAGAGACCATGGACCTCGTTGGCATTGAGAAAGCCATCGCGGATCTTGGCAAGAAGGTTGGAGATTATCCCTGGAAGTTGGCTTGAACGAAAAGCGGCTAACGTGCTTTTTGCCAGGCTCGTGATAATAAGTTGACTATCGAGGACATGGCTGGGGGCTCTTTCACCATTAGCAATGTGAGTGCTTACTTGTTGTCTACCAGGTGTTCTCTTAGTTATTAACAGTACGCTTAGGGCGGTGTTTTTGGCTCTCTGATGGGAACGCCCATTATCAACCTCCCACAGACAGGTAGGTCTGAACCTTGGAGTGTCGCTTGGGTATATATCTAATCATTTTCAAGCTGTTCTCGGACTCCACGCAATCAAGGACAAGCCGGTGGCTGTGAACGGTAAAGTTGAAATTCGCCCTGTATGTCCCCACACTTCTGCATGAAAACATAGAAACGGAGGAAAGGCCGTGGTGGTCGCTAATATCTTAAACAGATGATGTATCTTGCCCTGACGTACGATCACCGACTCTTGGACGGTCGTGAGGCTGTAACTTTCTTGGTTAAGGTTAATCATCCTTCTTGTACAGTTTTTTTCCGGGTTGTGTGCTAACTCTGGCTAATCGCAGGTCAAGGAATACATCGAAGACCCCCGTCGGATGCTACTGGGCTAGACTTCTCACCCTTATTGAACTAGCCTGTTGGGTACCGGAGGTCTTGGGCACATATCAAACATTCCCTTTTGCCTCTTATTCTTGCACTTACGCCCTCGATTTGTAGAATAACAGTTCTGTACGGAGATGTAACCAAGCGTATCAGCTTACAATACAAACTTCATTAAGCTTCATTGCTGCCTATGGTTGTCGTGGGATTCTAACACTTTGGCTTGAATTACCATGTACGTACATGCCATAACGTTCACTACTATCAAAACCCTATCCTATCCTTCAACTGCTGGGTCTCTTCGCGGCTCAGTCCTGCAAGTTTTCCTCTCTCGAGTTGAATGAGTATTGGAGGGTCTAGTGTCTTCATAAGGTCGGTCAGGAAACGATGTATCGTGCGGGTAATAGTATCTCCACGTGGTGACTTCCGCCCAGTTCCTTCCAACTCGGCTGATGCAAGGTCGATGGATGGTAGGAGGGTGCTTAGGTATGCTATGTTTACCTTCTCTGCATACGGGTCCAAGGCTTCGCGCAGGCACGCAGTGACACGTTCAATGCATTCTCTGTACCCGCCTGGCGCCTTAACATCCGCCGTGTGACACTCGTTCAGTGCAGCTTGGGTTATTAATCTCGCGGCAATATCAGCGTGTCCATCTGGTAAATTGTCTCTCGCAGTACCACAAAGTGTGACAAATCGGATTAGCGCATTGTATGATCTATTAGAGGCGACAACCCGGCTATCATGGGCGCATAGTTTATCGCTTGCACGGGGCTGGTATGGTTTGGGGGTGCTTCTTCCAGATTGTGTTATTGGACTCCTGCGCTGGTCCTCCTGAGACAGTTCGGCAGCGAGCCCTCTGGTTAGCTCTGGATTTCCATTTCCATCACTGAGCAATTGTGCAAGTTCTAGTATCTGGGTTTTTATCTGCATGTCCTTGGGAATAATATCCGATGGTAGGAGTGCAGTCTTGATGGCTGTTGGGTTAAGGGTCAGTACCTATGTACTATCGGGCGTATCGGGATGTCCATACTGTTGATCGTATCGAGACACCAGCTAGTGTCATCTTCAGGTGCATGCTGTGCCTCTTCACCTTTCCCGGGGTCCAAGACTTGGCCAATGGCCATGCACAGGAGATAATCCAGTATCATAAGATCTACCTCAACCTGTGTATCCGGATCTGCTGTGGACGGTTCCATGGTGGAGTGATGCAATCAATTAGCAATCCAGCCATTCTGCTGGTCGTCTGATTGCACTGTGGGCTTCTAAATTCCGTCACAACCCATGGGCCGGTCTAGTAGAGTATGCTTTGTCCTGTGAATTTTCGGAAATGTGATAGCTACTTAATTACCGGCCCGGGCCCTGTTGGTTAGTCAGTCGGTTACTCCTAGTTAACTAGTTAACCATTGGTTGGCTGGTTGATTAGGTTAGTGCTGTTGGTTAGTTAATAACTCAGTTAGTTAACTAATAACTTATGCTTGATTATTAATTATTATGGATGCCAGTGCGGCACGCCCCTTGCGCGGTTAGGTTGTTTGCTTGTTGAGACCGATGTATGTGTATGTGATTTTAGCTTTCTAAGGCTTGAAGGGCTATGGGCTTGGTTTTCTTGATTAGGCTCCTTTTTCTCTTCTCGCATGTAATCAATGTACATGCTGTATTACATGGGCATGGGAGTAGTTCTCGAGACGCATTACCAATACAACCATACCCGAGTGTATATATAATTATATATATAGACATATATCTGTACCACGAATCGGTGGTATACCAAGTAGTGTACAAATGTCGTCACATATAAGGGCCCGCCTTCTTGATATCATACCGCATGATACAATATAGCATACCAGCCTGCCTATCCCGTACAAAGCAACTGACAGTACGTACATGAGCACCCGGCGTGTCCCTTCCTCCCAACCTGAAGGGGTTCAACCCCGGGTACACACGTGACCGGAGGCGTTTTAGCATGGCGTCATAACTACCTAAGGCCACGACCATCATGTGAACAGCGTACCTGCAGCTTAACACTTACTTGCCTGATCTCACCTACAGGCCAGGTCCGATATTGGTATCTGCGACGGGCACTGCCTGCCGTATTGGACTAAAGTCAAAGAAACCACTCGCGTGCTACATGCCACAAAAGATATCCATAAGAGTATCCTCATTACCTAAGAAGCTCCTGCAAAGGTCCCTGTCAATGGCGTGGTATTGCTCCGGCTCCACGAATAGCGAGCTCATCGCGAATTTGATCAAGACGGGACTGATAAAAGATGAAAGAGTGAAGAATGCCATGCTAGGCGTGAGTAGTAGCTCCTATCCCTGGACGTCACACACCGTCAAGACACTGCGGCCAGTGCTTACCCCTGCTTGACACATTCGCCGGACCCCAAACGGAGGGAAGGGGTTGACCCCTTCTCCCCGCCCCGTTATTTCACGTTTAGCCACATATCTGCCTCTTAAAGGACACTGGACGACCAGAAAACAACTTGCTTCCTGGGTGAAATGGCGTTTCTAACCAAAGTGCAAGGTTGATCGCGCCCACTATGCGCCCTCAAGGCCATACTCCGACTCACCGCAGCCCATCGGGCATGGAGCCACCATATCTGCCCCCCACATGCATGGACATGCCTGTGAATACCTCATCGATTATCTGAAGCCAGGCTCGCGTGTGCTGGACATCGGATCCGGCTCGGGTTACCTCACCCACGTGCTTGCAAACCTCGTCGTGAGTCCTTCGTCCACGAGCGAAGCCGATGGCCAGGTTATAGGTGTAGACCACATTCCGGAGTTGGTGGAACTGGCACAGACAAACATGCGCAAATCAAAGGAGGGGAGCAGCTTTCTTGACTCTGGAAGGGTGAAGTTCATTACCGCCGATGGTCGCCTGGGCTGGAAAGAAGGTGCGCCGTACGACGCCATCCATGTTGGCGCGGCCGCGCATCACCTTCACCCCGTACTCATCGAGCAGCTCCGCGCACCAGGGCGAATGTTCATACCCGTCGATGCGGAGGAGGATGAGGCTAGCTTTGGGCTGGGAGGAGGACAGTATATCTGGGTAGTTGAGAAAAAAGAGGATGGTTCGGTCCGCAAAGAAAAGGTGTTCCAGGTTAGCTACGTTCCCCTAACCGACCGCCCGGGAAGATGAGCGAGGATGGAACGAACGTAGAGAAGTGTACATGACCAATCCGTATCGACAAAGTCAATTAGGTCCAGTCTACTTTAATGCGAGACATCAGAATGTTTAGGAGTACGCTTTCTGAGACGCAGTATTGCATTGTATCGAAGACCAGGGCATGGCTATGGCACAAAATGATTGCCAGTCCTGAAACGGACTGGAACAAGAACAAAAGGTGCATAATTTAAAGTACAGTATGTTCCTCCAGCAGTTGGCAGGCCGGACCCCAACATTAGCGGAAAGGAAACCCGCCGGGAAAGTTGAAGCCCTGACCCGAGAACTTGAACTGCTGACCGCCGCCCTGCTGGAAGAAAAATTGTCCGCCTGGCCCAAACGGACTCCCCTGAAATGGCCGGCCCCTTTGCGACTCGGGGTCATTGGGGTCATCGCCGCTGTCGTACCGGGATCGTAATTCAGGATCTGATAGTACCTCGTAAGCTTCATTGATTGAGGCCATCTTCTTCTCAGCCTCCTCCTTGGTAACACCCTGGGAAATGGCCTTATCAGGGTGATGCTGTTTCGTAAGCTGTCGATAAGCACGCTTGATGGTCCTCTCGTCCGCATCACGGCTCACACCCAAAACCTTGTAGTAGTCTTTCTGCTTGGAGCGTTTCTGTAGAACCTGGGCCTTCTGCAACAGGGTCTGAACTTCCCTCGAACTGGAATGATGTTCCTTGGCTTGGTTTAGCAACCGTATAGCATCATCAAATCGATCCTCGTCAATAGCTTGCTGACTCTCGAGGAGCAGCGCTGGTAAAGAATTAGGATCGAAAGTTAAAGCCTCAGAGCAGTAGGAACTAGCCCGTTTGGGCATTTGCGCCTGGAGAGTGATGCAAGATTTAGTCATGTACCGCGGAAAGGGTAATGTTCAGCAGGGGTGAGGTGTCACACAAACCTCTCGGAAAACGTCGCAGGTTCGTTCGACGAGTGAGGCATAAAGGTTGTTCGGGGCTTTTGGATGGATGTTACCATCCTCCTTTGCCTGTGCAGCATCCTCCCGCACGTCATCGAGGAGACCGCCTTCATTACTGACTCCTACCAATATATTGATGGCGTTATTGTGTTTTCGCGCATTCAGAGCATCCTCCAATTTTTGCAACTGTTTTACAAGCTGCCTTTCCCTTCTGTAAAGGCGATTGCACGGTTTGGAATCGGGGTCAGAATGCAGACATTTGCGTATTTGGGAGATACCGCGGTCAGTGTCTCCCAAGGCATAGAAAAGTGTAGATGATATCTGTAGATAGGGCTCCAAGGAGCTCGGGTGAATTTGTAGCACGTGAAGAAGATCGCTGATTCCCTGTTCTGTTTCACCAGTCTCAAAGCGACAATGTGCCCGAGCCCGCCGCAGGCTCAAAGACATGGTTGCCTTGGACAGAGCTACACTCGCCTGGCTTACACAGACATCCCAGGCTCCGCGACTTTCCGCTTCCAGCGCGGCAGACGCAGCATCACGCGAATCGCGGAGTTCTTGATACTCTGGCGTGGACCTCTTACCAGCTTTATCAAGATCATCCAACGCACCTGCCCAGTCAGCAGAGCTGGCTCTCAGTCGTGCCCGTTGTAGAAGAGCGCTTTCGAAGTCTGGCTTCAGTTGGAGAACCCGGTCGAAGTCCTCAAGAGCCAGTGAGCTTTTACCAAGGGACAGATGGGTAGCACCTCTCTGAAAGATTGTAAGATAATTTGTGGGATCTCTGGACACAGCTGCATCAAAATACATCAAGGCCTCGCGGGGGGAACCACCCGCAAGGTGAGTTTTCGCAGAAGCGATCAAAGATGATAATGGGGTGTCAGAGGGAATCTGGGAAGACTGTAGGCCATGGCCAGCGGAAATAAAGGCCAGAAAGACCGTAAGAGATGTCAGAGGCAAGTGCATGTTCGTCTAGTCCGTGAGACACCTGGAATGGGACTTTGACGATGGAAGCAGGAATAAGTTATGGGGCAAATATCATAGTAGGTCAGGACGTATGGTCAGCATGAAATGGATGACAGAGGTTTGAAGGTAAAAAGAGTGTGAGGGACCCTGAGAAGGTCAGAAAGCACTTTCACATATTATCAATGCCAACAGTAGCGGGCAGGACAGACACTATATCGTCCTTCGTCGAAGGGGAAGGAAAAAGGAAGCTTGATCCATGACCATCTTCTTCCAGTCTGGCCTTTACGACGACATTACATACGGTAATATTACCACCCGTCAGATTCCCGTATGGAGCTGATAATCCCGTATCCGTACTTACCATATCACAACCTCCGCATGCCCCAAATCTCGAGCTAGCCGAGATTCCAGCAGTTGGATTTTCTCGAGTCGGGCCCAACGAGCATGGTTTATTTAATCACAGCTCGATAGAACATGTTCAACGCGCCGTGGATATGCGCTCGATGTTTCGTGCGGTCTGCCGCTAGGATTGGCTCCAATCCCCGTCCGTTTCTACAACGGCGCGGCCTAAAAACCGGTCTGCATTCCCTTCATATATCTATGTCTGTCTCATCGTCTAGCAATAAACTAACATGGTCCGATGTAGATTCCCCCGGCATTTCACAAGCCCTCTTAGCACGCGCTCGTTCTCTGTCCAATGAACATTCCACACTCTCCGCTCATTTGGCCGAGGTTTTTGATGCGAAACTCGCCAAAAGAGTGGGTGAACTTGCGCCAATCGCAAGTACCTTAAAAGAGTGGGAACAGGCAAATAGTGTATGTATTTCTCCAACATGTTTATGTACTGGGCTTTACTGACAAATTGCAGTCTATATCTGAACTATGGTCATTGCTTGATGACCCGGAAACCGATGCTGAGCTGAGGTCGCTTGCAGTTGAAGATCTGGAGAGCAGCAAGGTCGCGCTGCCTGCCATAGCGGATAATCTGAAGAAGGCCCTTATACCTCGCCACCCTTTCGCAGACCTCCCATGTTTGCTCGAAATACGCCCCGGCGCAGGTGGTGACGAGGCTGGCCTTTTTGCTTTCGAGGTTTTGAGAATGTATATCGCCTTTTGTTCACGTCGTGGTTTCAGGTATAGCCTCATAAAACAGGATGTTGCAGACGGCCCTGCACAAGACCGATTGAGTGAAGCGGTCCTGGAAGTTGACGCGGATGGGGCCTATGACATCCTGAGAACGGAGTCGGGAGTTCATAGAGTACAGAGGGTTCCCGCCACCGAGGCGAAGGGCCGCACACATACCAGTGCCGTTAGTGTGATGATACTTCCTAGTTTTCCAGACTCCGGGAGTGGCCTGGATAGTTCACTCAATTTCGAGGACCCAAACAGCGACTACTATGTGGATCCTCAAGAGGTTCGCACAGAGAAGATGCGAGCCGGTGGCGCAGGCGGTCAGCACGTCAACAAAACCGAGTCAGCTATTCGGTTAACCCATATACCAACGGGTACCGTTGTCTCCATGCAAGATTCACGTTCCCAACATGCCAATCGAAAGAAGGCTTGGCAGGTTTTACGGGCGAGATTAGCTGAAGCAAGACGAGAAGCCCGAGAACAGGAATTGGTTAACCTAAGGAGAGGAGCAATGGGCGGTGTTGCTCGAATGGGACGCGGTGACAAGATCCGGACTTACAATTACGGTCAGAATCGCTGCACAGACCATCGCAGCGGCCTCACCATACACAACTTGGATAGTGTTCTTGATGGTGGCGAGGGCCTAGAAACCGTAATGGATAGCGTACGGACATGGCTCGTCGAGCGCGAAATAGAGGCCTTGGCTGCTGAAGAATCAGTCCAAGATAAAGAAGGACTGCGTGCCCAACAGCGGTAGGGTCAAGGGATCGCCACAAAGACAGCTATTCGCTTATAGGCATGATGTAGATACAGTCATATGATATGGCACACTATAAATTCACACGCATCGGGCATTCCGAATAGTAATGGTTTTTCTCACCATGTGTCGCACCTACTGGCCAAAGTGCTCCCCATCAAATGTATCGCCTTTCCGGATCGAGACCATCCAAAGCATCCATGGTTTTCTCGTACCTGTAAGAGGGTTAGTCGCATGCACACTCAGCGAAAAGGGTTGTTTAAGCACGAACATCGTAAACACTATGCCTCCGCTCATAATCAATCTTGCTAGCCGTGGGACAGCACCAGACCAGAAGGTGAAGACGCCCTCGTCCTTGAAAATACGCGCAGCGCAGACAAAACTATTCTTGTAGTTCTTGCTGGCTTCCAGCGATTGCATCCTGCTGTTTTGTCAGAGTACGGCTACATTGAGATGATGCCCCCCCCCCCCGGCCTGCCGGATACATACCTTGTCTTGACAGTATCAAGAGGTTGTGTAACATAGCTATCACGCAAGTGTGTTAGTATAATGATTGTAAGCAATACCCAAGGGGTAGGTAGGCGTACACAGTGATGAGGCCTGCAATGCCTCCCAGAGCGAAGGTGCTCGCGGTTCCCAACTTCTCACCCGGAGCGACATAACCCTGGGCCATTTGCTTCAACATCGTGTAGCTCGAAAACCTAACGGCTGAGTTGGCAGCCTGTCGTGCAGTCGTAGGGACAAAGCCTTGAAAGAAACCGCGAACACCTCGCTCCTGAAAGATCACTTTACTGCCATGTAAGAATCCACGCATGCGAGGATTTTGTGATTTGCGATCATCGATCCTGCAGTATTTATTGACATCAGACACAGTTAGCTTAGCTCCTACAATCCGCAGCAGAAGCTATGTCCCAGTATGATGGTACGGTGAGAGTCAGAACTTGACGAACAATTGTGTTTTGATGCTCTCAAATGGAGTAACGGCTAGCAATGACTCTGTAAATCCTGCGCCGAAACCCGCGATGACAGTTCTTGGTCCAGAAATCTTGCCGTTTTCATCCTGCAAAAGTGACTTCAACCAGTCGAAGGCGACAAACCCTGTTTTTGGAAAATAGATCTCGGCATAAGCGACAATACCGCTACAAGATCGTTTCGATGGAACAGGATGGACTCACGAATTCCTGCCTTGAGTGAATTCCCTATAATCAAAGTAGTGCACCCAGCGTACCATTGTGCTCCAAATGGCGGCCATGGGAGTTTCTTTGCGTCCGGTAATCTGCGATTGAGCTGAGATCGGGTTTTCGCAACTGAGCGTGACAGGTGTTAACCGGTAATTGAAAAATCCAGGACTGAAAAGGTCTTACATTCGGCCGGGTAGGTAATTGCTGCCATCGAATTAGCAAGCGGCATCTTAATTTATAATAAGAGTATGGTTACCAATCTCGACTGCACCGGCAGTAGAGCCTGCGATGATGGACCGCAGGCTGCTGGGCTAATAATTCGTTAGGGAGAAACGTTGGTAAACGGCTGGGGTACCAAGAGGAATGCAGCAAACCTTAGGCCTCTTGTCGTTCTCGGAGGTTGCCATTGCCAGGGTATCTGCTGCAAGACCCGTGTGGAAGCCTGTTAGCCGACTGCTGTGTATTCGCCGAGAGTCGCTCAGCACTAGGAGTCATACTAGGGATACGGGGCTCGGCGAGAGCAACTCCCGCAACCCACCCAGTTACGTGGGGTAGACCTTAGGTAATTAGTAAAGTATTATCGGTTAAGCTTAAAATGGGCTCCGTAGTACCATTCACCACTCTTTCCCAGATTGTAACTTGGGGCGTATGTTCACATCTATCGAGAGAATTCTGGTTGATTCCCAGGGATTAAAGATTCCATTCCGCTAGACACTACATAGTTTGTAAGCTCTAAAAACCGAGAAAACGCGGCGGCATCAATCACTCCCTGGGGTTTTCCCATTTGTTTTTCAAAATTTTTTTTTTTTTTTCTTTTCCTCTCTCTTATGATTTGTGCTTTGTTTCTGCCTTTTTCTTTTCCATTCTTTTCTTTTTTTTCTGAGGATTTTTTCCGTCTCTTTTTGAGGTTGTCACTTCAGCCCGTGATATCCCCACCCGTTTCACCTTTGTGCATAACACCAACGCACAAAATCTCCTGCCTCCCCCCATCCCCTTTCCCAGCTATTTATCAAATCCGCACCACCGATGCCAGAGACAATATGGAATGCCAGATTGAGTTCCTAGTCGGCGAACACAAAGCAATTCATGTGCCTTCAGACCGAACGAACGTCGAGCCTCTGCTGTACTTCACAAAGACGCCCATCAGCAGGTGACGAAAAAATGCCAACTGCGATGTTTATGCTGGTGGAAGTACTGCTAGGTGACTGGTCGAGAGGATGCGACGCGTGTGAAAACAGCCAGATCACTCGGTCCAACAATGGCCCTTTTCGAAGCCACAAAATAACAACAAACTCCATTAACGCAGTGCGCCGAATGCAAATCGCAGACCACAAATCGTGCAGATATTTGTAGTCATGACTGAGCCAAGGTGCAGAGACATGTCGGGAGTATTTCAACTCGGCGCATCATTCACCCTAAAGATTCGAAGTCGTATAACGCAAATGCAATGACGGGATAGCCGTGCGGCTATAGAAATTGATCAGTAAATACCCACCTGTTAGTCAAAAGAGACCTTCAAACGCCAAATGAAAAAGGTCGAAATTCAAGCCCGGAAACGCCCCGAAACCGTAAATCGAAACATCTGGTGTGGAGTAGAATGAATTATGTACATGGAAGGAAGCCAGAAGCCAAATAATGGTGCTCACCGTACCATGTGCATATCGTCTAATGCAGGTACATAGTGCTTTGGCGTGGCGAACTGGAGAAGAGGGTGGGTAGGGTATAGAATAAGATGATAGGAAGCGGGAAGTGAGGCGGCCGAAGAGGTACACGGAACGGAGAGAAAAGGGAGAGCATGCGTTATAATACAGTTCTTCAAACGTTATCATAGATCATAGTTGATATGATATTGGGCAGGTGAGTGCAGCAACGATGAGAGAAAAAATGAATTTGTAGTGCTTGAATCAAGCTACCGTAGTCACTTGCAACCTGGCCTCTCCAAACGAAGAAACAACCCGGGAGAGGTCGAAGAGAATAGAAAAAAGGGGGAGAAAAAGAAAAGAAAGCTAACAGAACAACGAACTTGAAATATGATAGAAAGGCAAGGAAACATGCAAGATATGAGTAAAAAGTGGAAAGATAAGAGACAGAGAAGCACATGATCCTATGTCTATGACACTTGCGTCGGGTGGGACTTGCCACTCGAAGGGCCCTGAGTACCAAACTTGGTTTCGTTCTGCATGTTACGACGCTGGCCTTGTCCACGACCTCCGCGATAAGAGCCCCGGCCCCTACCATATTGGTACTGCCCACCATTCATATGGTGGTTGTGACGACGCTCACCAATGTTTGCATTCGCCGCTTGGGCAGTAATCTGAGGCTGGGATGGATTGGCAATAGGGCGTGGAATCGTGTCCGGTGAGTCATAGACATAAAGCTTCTTGTCGATGTTTTGTGGAATTGGCTGGATCTCAGTTCCAAGCTCCTGCTCAATCTTATATAGATTGAACCGGTCTTCCCAATTGATAAGGTTGATAGCAAGACCAAGATGCCCAAAGCGGCCAGATCGACCAATCCGGTGCAGATAAGTTTCGGCGTTCTTCGGGAAATCAAAATTAATGACAACATTGACGGCTTGAATGTCAATACCTCGAGTTAACAAATCCGAGCAAACAAGGTTCCGGCAAACACCATTTCTGAAGTCGTGGAACACCCGATTGCGATGCTGCTGAAGCATTCTGGCATGGGAGTAGAAGCAAGAATAACCCAATTCCGTTATCTTCTTCGCGAGCAACTCGACACGGTTGGTAGAATTGCAGAAGATTATGGATTGATTGATTTGTAACTTGGAGAAGAGTGTGTTCAAGCAGTGGACCTTCTGCTTTTCCTCAACAAAGGCATAATACTGCGTGATTCCACGGAGAGTGAGCTCGTCCATGAGATTGATCTCGTACGGATTGCGCATGTGTTTGTCCTATGAATATCAGCATCCATGTGATTGATATCTTCATGCCCAGAGCATACCTTGAATGACTTCACAATAAGTGGGAAGGTGGCGCTGAAAAGCATTACTTGGCGGTCTTTAGGATGGAATGATAGTAGTTGCTCGATGACTGGAGTAAATTCAGGTGACAGCAACTTATCAGCCTCGTCCATAACAAAGGTAGGACACTCGGAGAGGTCAGCAACCCCTTTGCTGGCCAGGTCCAGGACTCTTCCTGGGGTCCCAACGAGGATATGAACTGCGTCGTTCAGCCGAATAATGTCATCCATCAAGCCGGTACCACCTGTGGTGACCATAACATTGATACCAAGATGCTTTCCCAAGGTTTTGCAGACATGTGACGTTTGGAGCGCCAGCTCTCTTGTAGGAACAAGGATAAGGGCTTGTGTCTTAGTGCTTTTAGGATTGATGCGCTCCAAGGTAGGGATAACGAAAGCTGCTGTTTTTCCGGTGCCATTCTTGGCCCGCGCCAAGATATCCCTGCCAGTAAGAGCGACTGGTATCGTCTCTTCCTGAATTGGAGAAGGCTTTTCGAAACCAGCTTCGAATATACCCATCATTAATTCGCGTTTGATGTAGAAGTCTTCGAACTCCAAGCCTTTCGTAGCAGTCACATCCTAAGCCGCATTAGATTGGAATCAACAGCCATACCGATTGTTCATGATCCAGACGAACCTCAGTTTGTGGTCTTGCATCTTTGGCAGGGACGTTCAATTGCTCCTTCCACTTCGCGTCTGAGCTCGCATCCCTTCGAAGTGTTCAAGTTAGCCTCATCATATGGTTAAACCAGTGTGCGACAGTGAATGTACCCTAAAGTAGTGTTATTCAGCTGAGAGGCTAAGGCGTCGGTCATGGTGATCAGGTGTAGAAAGAGGTAATATTGGAGTTCAGGTGGGGTAGGTTGTTTGTTCTTCCTCCAACCAATATGTCGCGGAACACTCAAATGCGATGGGGCAGACAGTAATGATTACTAGCTCGATCCAAGTCTAAGACACATTAGTCTGTGTAATCTCACGAGGGGAATGATATAAATCAAAGCACTTATGCTGGGGAATCCTACTTCGAGAAGACCGGAAGTCGGGTGGACAACACAAAGTGGTGAGGTGAATGAGTTGGCCGGATGCAAAGATTGTGTTTCCGTTCCCAATATAAAGAGGCCGCTCGGAGCCGAATGAGGATGGAAAGAGCTATGCTAAGAGTTTAAAGAGACAAGGGTGTATTTAAGGGGCCTCTGATGATTGAGTCGTCAACTGGAAACTTGACAACGACTTGCTGTGAAGTGCCTGTGTGCGGGCCGTTTGGTTGGACGTCAGGAACGAAACTCGGGAAGACAGAACTGGGTGCCACGGATGTGGGCTGCGATTCGAACAATTCGGACGTATGGGTAGCCGATCCTAAGATTAGGTGTTGGATGGGGTTTGAGAAATTTTATTTGACGGATTTGACTCGCACTGAGTGAAAGGCGAATGGCTTATCATAGAGAGTGAAGTGGAAAGAGGATGGAAAACTTCAATGTGGTGGTGTGGGAGTGGTGAATAATACGCATCATACACATAAATACGGAACACCAGCTTCCGCAGCACGGGTCATGTGGCAGTCTTACTTAAGGTACCTAGGCACATCTGGTACATACGTAGGCGGTAACTACTAGGTACTCCACACCGCATAGACCGACTACTTACCACGCCGGGTTCAATACACTGAAATCGTGAGCTCTTATCTAGGCTAGCAACCGCTCAGATATCTCATTTACTATGGAATTCATAAATTTGCCAAGGCCTTAGGCTTGACATATCGCTGATACCCCCGGTTTTCCAAAGATTCTGCTAGTGAACCACGGAATTTGATTTTCTCCCACCGCGGAAGACGATCTTATCCCTCCATATGGCAACTGCGGCAGTATACCGTGCCCAGGCCATAACTTTCCCGGTCTTATCCTATGGCCTACAAGAAGAAAGAGGGGAACTGGCTATTGCTTGAAAGGATTCTGGAAAGTAGATGAAAGCCGTTGATGCATAAAGAGGATATGCAGTGAGTTTGAAGGAAACGGACCAAAGCGCCCCGCACCACCCCCCCAAAAAAGAGAAAGAAAGAAGTAAAACAGAAAAAGGGACAGAGAACAGATAGCCTGGGTGAGAATAGAGTGGGAAATGAAGTCCAGTGATGCAACAGTCACTGAAAGTTACCGTGAAAATGTTAGTCTTGTCTGACCCCTCTCGGGCTCCGCCAACCTATAGGGATCATGTTAGCTGCAGTTCAAGCAATCTCGTTCACAGACGTACTCCTTTACACAGACGTCAGGCGCCAAAGTAATTTCTGCTCTTGACCCGGGGGTAATAAGAATGAATTGCCGTCCTATCGACCGTCTGGCAGCTAGCATCTTATAGGCCCGTTAGCACGTACAGATTGAGCGTGATAAGTCCGACATACAAGCATATCGATAGCCATCTTCCTGTTAATGTGATCCATATACACATCGCTTTCAAATCCGTGTCAGCTACAGGGCTTGTTGAGGTTTTCGGAAAACTTACAATTCATCTAAGCAACGAATTGGAGACCCCATAGCCTCCCACAATGCCAATAACAGACATACTTGAGAAAATGACTTCTCGCCGCCAGAAAGTGTCTTCGCACCACGACCAGCGCTATCTTTTGTGATGTCTGGTTCCACCTATGAAAGCGCTGTCAGAGTACTTTAGCAATGATGACGGCCAAGAGCAAACATACTTGTAAGTCCAGAAGCTTGCCCTCATGATCGGTCAGAAGCCGACCTCTGAAGCTTCTTTCACTCAGAAGGTAAGTGAATTGTGCCTTGGCACGGGATGAAATGTGTGATCTAAAAATTAGCCAGCGGTTTTTGCGGACATTCAGTGTCGCCTTAAGAACCTTGCTTTTATGTCAGCAACTAGATGTTTCATGGGAAGAAGGGGAGAGGTCAGTACATACTTCGGCCAACAATCTAAACTCCTCTACTTGCTTCAAAGCTCGATCATAGGCTTCGCTAGCCTTTGTGACCTCAGCAAGTAACTCGTCGCGAGATGCTCCCAACCTAAGCAATGATTAGCGGTTCATACTTGTAGACATATGATTGATTATACTGACTGTTGCTCGTAGCGCCTGATGTCGTTGTGAAGTCGTTCGAGTTTCCTGTCCAGACTAGCCGCTGTTTCACCTTCCTCGATGGCAACTCGGTCACAGATTATATTTGCCTTTTCGCTGAAGTCAGCGATACGTACCGCGATCTCTTCTCGCTTAATCTTGACTCTATCCCTGTCCCGCTTGCGATCCTCAATTATTTCTGCTGCTGCGTTCTTATCATTTATCCTCTTTCGGCGCTCTTCATCAGCCTTGCGTTCCGCATCCTGAGCAACTTTGAGCTCTTCCTGTACGATGGCAATCTCAGCGTCTTTGGCCGCGAGCTCTTGCTTGATTGCTTTCAATTTTTTCATCATGGCCTCCATAGCATCGGTGGCGTCATTCAAAGATCCTTCATTGAGGTGCCTTTCCTCTTCTGCCTCTTGCAGTGTGGTCCGAAGCCCGTCGAGGCGCCCATCCTCGGGAGCCTCCCTATCAAGCGCATCCATCAACTCTTCGACACGGTCTTCCATTCTCTGTGCTGCAATTCTTAGTTCGTTTGATTTTCGGTCGTGTCTTTGACGGGCTTGCTTGCAGCTTTCCAGCCGAGACTGAGCAGACCGAAGCTCTTGTTCGTGACGGCTAAGGTCCTGCTTTAGATCTGCCACGACACTCTGCTGCACCCTAAAGAAGTCGTTAGCACTAGCAGGAGGCCTTGGAGAACGATAGATATTATTCACTTAATTTGAGATTCCCGATCAGACCTCATTCGCGGAGATCCCTTGTAGGCTGGGACTGGTGCTTGGCTTGGTTCACCAGTCCTGCTAAAAGAAAGATGAATACCCCTGCGTCTGTTTGTTTGGTCAATGCAATAACAACGTTTCACATTTCTAGGCTGTTGCCCATCAAAGAGAACAGAAGATGCTTCTTCCAAGTTCTCAATAAGCAGCATCTTTTCTATATGATGGTTGATGATCAACTGTCCACGAACCCACTCGTTATCGAACTAAAAGCATGTTAGTCTGACCAGTCTCCCCATGATAGCGCTTATAAAAGTTCCTCACCTCAAGGACCCGCAAGGCGGTATCGTACTGAGGATCGGGTTCATTGCCTGAAGTATTGATGTGTTTATCACTCCCTATCAGAACGGGGCACTCGCTTTCGGCATTGTCAGAAATATCAAGTCTGTCACGAAGATAGAAAACTCACCAGTTAACTCTCTTCATGATCTGGAAGAGAATCTTCGAGTCCCTGGGTGAAGTTACCACAAAGCTGTTCAGCGTGGTGCCGAATGCGTTCTCAAGAATCGAAGACCACTCTGGCTTGAGCAGGCGCACGTAATGACCAAGAGGCCCGACAGGACGACTAGTAAAGGAACGTTCTTGCTCAATGGCTCTCAAAAGGAATGGCATCCTTTCGTGAAAGCCAGAATTCTGTGGACCCCCTTCCCTTTTCAGGGTTGACAAGAGCGATTCAGCCTCCTTAACATCGGCCCTAATTTTATCGACTGGCCCCTGAGCCTCCCGAACTTTTTCTTCAGCCTCGTTTATGTCATAGAATAGACGGTCACGGTCGCTACTATGTTCCTCATACTGAGCACGGGCTTGGGAGGCTTCTTCTTTTGCTCGCTCAAGTTCCTCCTGCTTTCGAGTAAAGCTACCGCCGCTAATCTCTGCTAGACGCCGGTTCTCTTCGTCAATACTCCGTTGAGTAGTAGCTATTCTTTCTTCTGCTGCCTTGAGATATTCTCTGATCCGGCGTTGTTCGGCCTAGAGATAACATTAGAAACTCTTCATGTGAACGCAAAGTGTTTACGGATTATACCTGCAGTCCATGACGCTCAGTCATTTGCGCATCCCATCTCGCTTGGATTTCGTCTTTCTCATCTTGGACCTGGCCTCGCTTCGCATTAGCTTGGCGAACAGAACCCGCGGCGACCTCAAGCTCAGCTGCAGCCGCATTGATAGTAACATCGAAATTGGTCAAATCAGCTTCGTCAGCTGCGATCTGGTTGTCTGCCGCGAGAATTTCTTCGTCCAAAGAGTCCCTTATCTGTTGGCTGTTAGAAACGTAATGGATGATTTGGTAAGATAAAAGGATACCCTTTCTTGTTCCTCCACCTGAGCCCAGGCCATTTGATTTCGAACATTCCTGATCCGGTTTCGCAGTGAGTCATGTTGGTTGGAAATATCAAGTTTTCGTTTCGCAGTTTCCTTCCGACTTTGCAATATCGCTATATCCTGTTCCCGGCCCCTCAGTTTCTCCTCGATTTGGTCGCCGGATTCCTCTATTAATCGGTAATCTTGATCGAGCTGCTCGAGTTGGACGCCTTTCACAAAAAATTTGTATTTCTCACTAGGACTTGATGAGCCGATGAATTGGCGGGCCATATCCTGGGAGAGAACATTCATTGGGTTGTCGAATTGCAAAGTGAAATAGTCAATGATGGCATCGAGCTCTGACTTCTTGGTGGACATGATACGGCCATTTTCTGATCTTATCTTGAACCCACTTGTGCCAGTTCTGGAGAAGTGGCGTTCGATAGTGATAAACTTGCCATAATCATCTGGCATATAAGCGCCATCTCCTTGGTTCTTGATTCGCACAACAATGGTTGCATGCCTTCATTGTAACGTTAGAACTTTTCACTAGGTGTGAGAGGGGCCGGGCATTGCTTACTCTTTGCCTTCCTTAATGAAGCTTTTTAGACTCTGGCCTCGATTGGTAGTAGATGCCTTACCACCTAAGCAAAGAGTAATGGCCGTGAGGACTGCACTCTTGCCGCTACCATTTTTGCCCACGATAAAGTTAATAAGAGGGCCTAAATCAACATAGAAATGGTCATGACACATAAAATTGTAACATTCAACACGCTCCAATATGCCATGCTCGGCAGGTATATTTGGTTCATCAGTAGCGAACGAATATTTTTCTTGGATGACCTGGGTAGCCCGTAACTCAAGTTCATCCTCATCATCATCATCAAGAGCCTGCGTAAGGGATCGGACTCTTAATTCTTCATCACCATCATTTCTGCCCACAGCGCTACCCTCTGAAAGAGGACTGTTAGTCCTACGGAGGCGTTTTGGCTAGTTCGTCCAAGTTAGCGGCCTTACTCATACGTTGAGACTGCCACATACCGAAGTTGAGTGGCCGCTAGTACTTTCATCGCCCGAGTCCGAAGGCTCTAGGGACGTCTGAGAGCGTTTCATTGACGGCATCGAGGAAAGGCGGCTGAAATATCGGGATTACAACTGGCCATAGCATATAATTTGAGTAGAAAGGGGAGATGAGAGAATGTTCAAGATTAAATGGAACGGTCGACAAAGAACCAGATTGCGCCTTTCATTCACTACTTGGTGGCTTGGCCGCTGAAGCCGAAAGAACTGTGCCCATCTTTGTTTCGTGTTTGGAGGCTTATCGGATATTGATAAGTCGCGTCGTCGCGCGTCGTTATTACACGTGACATGGAAGGAATCCAATTAAGGCTCCTTCGGGAGAAGACTGAAAGGAACAACACCGCAAATATCAACACCCTGCGGTTGATGTTGTCTTACGGAGCTTGCTGCTTGCTAACTTCCAAGAAGGTATTGGATGCAGCCCTTTTGGGGCATAAATTACCATCTTGCCTACGTACGCTGTATACCTTGCTATTGCTTTGATGCAAAAGAACAACTGGCGATCATTGCCTCCAGCCATAATGAATATTACGGAATTTGCGATGCTACAGGGTCCCTCATTCAATTGATAAGATTTATACTGGGACGAACCATCCCTAGGTACTATGCAGAGAGTTGCAAGCTTCAATGTATGCCATGAGGCCCCAGGTACTTTCGAGGTCCCACCGGAAGAGGACAAGTCATCCACTGGATATTCTCTCACTGCGAGTGAGAGGGGTGACGTAGATTTAAGCGGCTGCGAAGGTCTCCAAAGTGTCATACGGTCAGATGTCCATAGGCTCCTCCGCAACGTAATGCAAATACGCTCCCAGCAACTTGATTCCTTCAATATAATTCCTCTTATCGAGCTTCTCGTTAATCGAATGAGCAGCATCAGTCGAGCTTCCCATGGGTAGGAGGAGGACATTCTTGCCTGTAGCTTGCTCGAAGCTTAGTGTCACAGGGATACTACATGGATGTCAGTCTCAAAGTATCTAAAGCAGTGTAACAGATGGTGAGTATGAATCGGAAGACATACCTGCCACCCTCACGGGTCATATCCGGCTCAACACCGAAAACCTGTTTCACAGCTTTGCTTGCAGCTGAGAAGTTCCAATGCTTCGGACTGGCAACCCACCACTTTCCATCATGCTGGAGCCACACGTTCAATGTGTTCTTGCTATTCAATTTGGCGAACTCTGCCTTGACATAATCGAAGACGAGTTTGTTCACGTCCTCACTTTCCATATTCGGCACAGTTCGGATTGAGAACTTGCCGATGACCTTAGCTGGAATTACTGTCTTTGCGCCAGGAGCAGAGTATGCGCCCTCAATGCCATGGAGAGAAAGAGACGGGTACCTCCATCTTGCCATGAGAGTTCTCTCTTTGGTGGAATGAATGCTTGTCTCGCTGCCCAGTGACTCGTGAAGATTATCCATAGTGTAGTTGATGCCAGGGTATAGGGATTTTTCTTCCTCCGTGAGGGGCTCAACAAGATCCATGATTCCAGGGATCAGGATGTTTCCCTGCGAATCGACAAGTTTAGAAAGCACATGAACCAGATCAGTCATCGGCTCGTGGGCTGTGCCACCAAAGACCCCGCTATGCAAGTCCTGACCTGGGCCAGAAATGCTCACGGAGTAATAGTTGCAGCCTCGGAGCCCGTAGGTCAAGCAAGGCTTTTCAGTCCCAAGCCAATAGTTGTCCGAGATGCAAACGGCATCTGCATCTTTGAAGAATTCCTTGCCCTCGGTTTGAATGAATTCTTCCAAACCTTCTGAGCCATACTCCTCCATCCCCTCAAAGCAACAGAGCAGATTGACCGGGAACTCAACACCAGCCCTTTTATGAGCTTCAATAACATTCAGCCAGCCAAGGACGGGGCCTTTATCGTCGGTGCTTCCGCGCCCGTACATTCTTCCCTGATCATCGACGGTCAATTCGAAAGGCTCTGTCGCCCAGCCATCTTCTTTCAAAGCCGGCTGCACGTCATAGTGCCCATAGACCAGGATGGTTCGCTTGCTCTTGTCATTACCATAACGAGCAAGCACAACCGGGGGGAGATCTAGGTGCTCTTTTCCGGGTTGTTTACCTAACGGTCTCTGTTCCACTTCGGCACCCAAGTTCTCAAGCTCGGAAGCAAGAAATTGGGCCATCTGATGGGTTGGTAAAAAGATGAGGGGTTAGTTTAGTACTGATGAGGGCTGAGTAGGGCTGAAGTACACACCTTGAAGACATCCTTTCTATTCTCATCTTGTGCGGAAATAGATGGGATAGCGACAGCCTTTCGTAGACCTTTTTAGATATTTGAGAATGTATCCTCAACAGCAGGAATTTGGAAGAGCGTGACGTACGGTCAATGAAAGAGCCCGACAAATCGTCGACCCTGTGCAGATGGTCACCCAAATCATGTCAGCCAGCGGACCATAGTAGAAGCAAAACCAGCAATGACAAAATAGCGGACAAGTAAAATGAAGCTGTGGCTTACTGCTTGAAGAAAGGTTCAAGTTGCGGTGCCATTTTCGGATCACTGATATTTCCGTAAAATGAGCGGCGTAAAGATAGATGGCGTATTTGATGTTGAATGGAAGATATTCGTGGCGCCCGGATATCCTTGAAGTGCGCAGGTGATGATGACAGATATAATCTGCACTCCCTCCAGCTAAGCGATGTTGCAATGCGACGGAGGGGGAGGGGCATTTGTGCTGTGGAAGATAATGGAAGTAACCTGATTTGCTTGTTGGGTTGACACAGGTTTACCTAACAGTATCCTCGCTATCATTCGGTTGGTTGTCCGTCCTGCCCACCTCGGCTGGGTACTTAGGAAGGTTCCCGTTCCGGAGCGCAAATAAGCGCCCATAGCCATTAATGAGCATCTAACCTCGATAAGAACCAGGAGAATGTGGGCGCTACTGAAAGGTAAAGAAAAGAAACAAAGAACAATAACACAGCCAATCTTCTAAAATACATTTCATTTCCCAAGAGTGACAACGCTAGAATACATGATTTTATACAAATGTTGAGCTTCCACGATGCATGTTCGCAAGCGAACAAGTCTCTTCGGTACACCCAATCGAAAGTAAGGCGGTGCGTGACAGAAAATATGTTTGAGGTAAAGACAAGTGGGGGAAATAATAGCTGATTGTGGCTTTACTGATCCCTCCCCCATGTCTCCTTCCGCAGCTGTCGGTCTTCTCTGGCCATCCGACGTTTCGATCCCCATCTTGATTGCACGGCTTCCAGGATTCGCTTTTGGATGTCCTTCTTCTCTGGACTAGCCTCACAGACCATTGCAATAAACATTGGGGAACAGTCGAAGCGCTTGGCCAATTTCAACCGACTCCATGTCATCGGGTCAGTGGCCCTGAGCCTGCGAATCTCTCTTATATCTGATGGGTTTAGATGGTATTTTTTCTCGGTGGTCACTTTGGCTGCGAGGGGAAGGGATTCGGCGTTGCTACCCTTGACAGACGCGTTGCGCAAATTTCTCCGGATATCATCAGAGGGCAGGAATTTAGTGGGCGTGTGGTAAACTGACGGCGCACTTGACGGTGGGTTGTAGATGATATGATCCTCTTGGGAATGGCTCACAGAAGAGCCAAAGGAGGCATCTGGCTTGACACGTAGACGCTGCTTTGTGCGCCTGTATGAAGACTGATTGCGTCGCAAACCTAGGGTGACGCACTCGTAAGGAGAGGGCAGAAGGAACGGCAGTGCCAGAAGAGGCCGCCTAGGAGCTGCAAGGCAATTCGCCATCGCGACCAATCTCAGACTTTTCGGCTCTGAGATGATAGCAAATAAGCAGCTACAGCTGGAGGAAGAGGTGGCCGTCAGATGGTACCTAGTGCGAGGAAGCAGAAGTGAGTAATTAGTGAATCATTGATTTAACATAAATATACAGCACATAATAAGTGCTAAAGTGGAACACATACGAGAAGATGCCAAAAGCCTAAGATTAATTAGACATAGCCAAGATAGAGGTTTGTAGGGGAGGTACCGGACGAAATTGGGGAAGTCGACTTTTTCCGAACTGCTAGTCTCGTGACTCTGGCGCCGCACTAGCCTAACTGATCATGTAGAGAAACGTGGGTACAGACCTATTTACACCGTTTAGTCTTCGCTCTTCAGCCGTTATTGTTATCAGAGTCTTTGTCCTGATTATCGTTATAAGTATCGCTGTTCTTTAAAATACCTTCGAAGGCGATTCGGAGCACTGGGTGCACCATCTGGTTTAGCTTATAGCTGCTTCTTATCATGAAGGCAACTAAGAAGATCAATCACCTATGTTTTCCCGGCAAGTTTGCTCAGCTACTTGGGCTCTTAACATTTGTATTTGTAGGCTATCAGGCACGCTAGTACACTGTACTCCTAAGTGTCAGTGATCACGGGGACACGTAGGCACGGACATGGATGTCGTGCAGATAAGTTGTATTTGGTTGTCAAAGGGTCTTCAGTAGCCTAAGGGTCCACAGATACACCACTCGGAGACAGGTTGTTGGCTTGATAGATAGGTGGAACACAGGGTGAAAAGTTAATAGAGCAAATCTTCATCGCGCTACTGGGCTAATTTTCTGGAACCTCAAGCCATGGCTAATTGGCTATAATAGGCCCTTGGAATTCCAGTACTTTCTTTCACCAAGTTACCAGGGATTCCACTAAATATGTAGTCATCCAAAGAGCTGTGGTTTTCAAA